AATAGTTTGATGGCATAATGTAGGTGATATTTAGTTGTCAGGGAACAGGGAATGCATATTGTAGCATTCTGCCGTGTTTGGCTGTTTGAAATGTGACTGCAGTGGAGGATTGTGGGTAGAATTCATGTTTGTTGTTGTTAAATCATTTTACGGAATTGTTTAATATTGTCTGTTCAGCAGTTAGTCTGTTGTGTTACTCTAATTTGTGTGTTCATTATTTGTTAACTTATGTTAAACCAATCAGCAGAAGTAACCGTAAGTGAGAGTGGTAGGCCTAGTCATTAATAAGACCTGTGAGTTTCATTTTGTCTGTGTTGTTCATGAAGAAGAATCGAAGAAGAAAAAAAAAAGAATCCAATAAACGTTCTTCAAATATGCCATCTGGTGGTGAAGTCTTGAATTACAACAAGAGACACAGTTACTCTCTCTGTAGCTGTGAGGTGTCATGCTACAATATTTTGCTTGATGCATGTGCACTGTTATGAGTTGAAAATATAGGAAAGTTTGAGTGTATTTCCAGCATTTTATAAGTTGAAAATATTGAAAAATTTGAGGGAACTACTCCCTAATCATAAGTTGAGAAAAATCTATATTTATAAGATAACGTTGAGATAATTTAAGGCAACTGCACATGCAATTTTTATTTTATGTAAACAGAAAACATTTAAAAACACCACTAAAATATTTTTGTGTAATTTGTTTCAAAATAAATTTTGAGTTCTGTGAACTTATTTGGGTTACAGTGTATGCTTAGGGAGAAATTTGGTTTTAAAACACTTAGTTTTACATTTTGGCACTAAATACCTGTGTCCTGATGAAAAGAGCCTGAAAGTGCACTGCAGAGATATGTTTTGTTTAATGGATCCAGATAATTTCAGGACCTGCCTGGTGTACAGGAATTATGGATTCATTTGTGTCTCTCCTGTCAGCTTACTGGATCACTTCACTATTTGGTTCAGGTAGTTCTTGTTTTTCAGAGAATGATTCCTGATTCCACAAAGCAAAAGGATAAAAAAAAAGGTAAAACAGAGCCAATAGGGTTTTGTCGGTGCTAAAGGATGACAGTTTTCTGAGACAGAACAGGTGCTGGTTCCCTTTACTATAGACAACTTCACAATTTGCTTCAAATGTCAGTTTACTGTCAATAACTGTACCAAAATAGAAAAACTGGCAGAAAAACTCTGCTCTAGATTTTGATTACAGTTCATTCTTGTGGCTACAACAGTTCATGCTCAAGAACATGGAAACAAACCTTTAAAACAGTGGATACTAAAGTATACTGTATGTCAGACTTTAATAAGAAGTTCAGGTATCATGAGGTTTTGATGCCTGGTCAGTTACTAGAGTAGTCCAGCCCATTCTGGAATCGTTTTCTTTCAGCCACAGCCCATATTCCTCATGACTGTATATTGACAGATTGAGAACTTTGTCTTTTCACTAAAGTATTTCTTCAACACAACAGGCCAAAGCAATACACTCATCTTGAGAGTTTCTAGAGAGTCAAGTGTTGTGCATTTTTTAACCATTAGTTGAGCGCTTGGAAAATAAATCCTACTGTAACATATGAAGTCCCAGAGCATGTTGGATATCTGCTTCTCAGAAGATATTCAATGTCTGTTTACATAAGGGCGATGGTGCCAGACATCAATTCTCATTACTGATGGAGCTTCAACAAGCTATGAAAAAAATAACAAAAAAGCAGATGCAAGGATGATTCATGAACTCCAGCTTGAGATGAAACAGAGCCGCTCCTCTCCCTGCAGAGTCCCTGCCACTGATCCCTTTGGAGTTGGGACATCATGATTAATGTTGGGCTCCTACCTGTTGAACCTCTTTGTTCGCCCACAGAGGACAACAGGCAGAGGGCCTGGGGAGCCAAAGTCCAAGATTTAGATTAACGAGAGAAAAGGTTGTGCCGAGCCCCAGCAATAAGGTCAAAGGAGGAAACAGAAGTTCACCTCAGGTGAGAATTTAAACTTACATTATCAAGTTAAACCAAAGCAAATAAACCATCCCTGACTTTAACATGATTACATGACTGGGCCATTCATYGCATGTTTGTGCAAGCTCTTAGTAAAAGTCAACTTCCCTCGTTAAATGAAAATAAGCACAAATAAACAATAATTACACAGAGCCCAAACCCTTCATATGGTTCTTGCTGCTTAGTCATGTCCTTTGAATAAGTACCCTGGATAAACCCCAAAGGAGCACACAGCTGAGGACCTCAGAACTGATGACTCATGAGCCCGTAATGTGACAGGTTTATAATGGAAGTCAATGAGAGGGTGCTTCAGGAGTAATCAGCTATAAGTTCAACTTTCTCTGCTTTGCTTTTCAATTTTGCAAAGTAATTTTTAATAATGATTTACTTGAAGTTAATGTAACAATTATTGCATTATATGATGGATTTTTAAATTTAATTTTTGCTTCATATGTCTGAAGATATAAACTAAATGCGGAAAGCTTGTTGTTTAGAGATACACTTAGCTAATTTAATGCAAAGGCGTGTATTTGCACCAGTGCTTTTAGGAGCTTCCACAATAGACTACTGTTACATAAAAGTAAAAAGAATTCTGAGAACTTACAGTATATACATGTGAATTTTTTTATATTAAAGCATTCGACTTTAAAGA